ATCGGCATTACTTTTAGGATGCGCCACGCATTTCAGTTCCATTCAAAATCGTGGTGCACACGAATGCGGTGTGGCCTTAGAGTGACTTGTGGGGCCAGCGGAAAGACTGTGTTTTTATCCTCCTAGCACGCCCGGTACTATTACCCGAGCTCGTAGGGACGTAAGGCTTGGGCGTTGCTGTCTTAGCTATAGAAAAGAGCGCAGAAAATGAATTAAATAAAAAATGATTGAAAACAAATGACTAAATTGCAGGATGTTCATTCGACCGATTCGATTTCTCGGTATTGACTGGGAGCCACTGATTGTTCCTTCGAAGAGCCGACTAGAAACTCTTGCCGTCGTCCATTTCATGTTCCTTTGGATAATATTACCAATTATCTCCACATGGGTAAGTAGAATCTTGTACTTTTGAAGATCTACTAGGTTACACATTTGTGATACTAGGAAAACCAAAAAATAACCCTTATTTTTTTCGTTTTTTTTTCTTAGATAGATTGAAGATAATTAGTTAATCTCACTTATTCCCTCTATCGAACCAGAATATCCCACTTCAGTTGCCGTTCTACATTCTGTTTTTCACTCGGTTTTGGTGGGTAATGGTACTGTACTTCTCGTGGACCTATTACGATTTCGATAGACCACGGCGTGGATCGCGATGTTGGGTAGTTCCAGCATTTCCTTACCTTCTCTTTCTTACTTTCCTGTTCATTTCTCTCCATTTTGAAAGGAATGGAATTTCATGCAAATAAGTTTTACCGGTTGGAAAATATTTCTTTTTACGTGGCATTTGGTTTGCATGGTTACACAACAACAGACAAATAGGAATCTTGTTCTATCAGTGGTTTCAGAATTGGTACAAAAATCATGCAATTTGGACTCATTTTGCCGACTATTTTCCGTTGAAAATCGTCAAAACAGCAGATTTGCCGCCCGATCGCAATTACATTATCGGGTACGTCTATTTTTTCCCTTCGATATCGCGGTGTAGAGGTAACGAAAAGACGTTGTGGGATCGCAATGGGAATGCTGTATTAGTAAGGGGCATTCTGGTGCAGAGCATCCAAGATATTAAGAACCACGACAAACACTCTCTTGTATTATGTATAAACTTTTAGAAAAGGCAGTACTGATCTAGTTGAGTTTGGCACGAGCAGATTAGTTCGTCTACACGGAGCTTACTTTTCCTGCAAACAAAAACCGATACCCACTAGACACCTTCCACTATTGAGTGTAGAAGGCAATTAATTTAGCTATCATTCTGGCGCTATATGGGCGCTCGAATTCGGGAAAATGCCTTCAAGAGGAAGCAAAAGCTACATGTCTTCAAGGATTACTTCTGCAGGAAAGGGTAGGTCTGTGGTCAGGCTTTCAGAGTCCCTACGCTGCCTCCGCCCGCCCCTTTGGCTACCAGCCGCTTGGGCCATCACATTGAAGTTCCCACCTTTTTGGGAGAATATGTGAGAGCGGAGGCACACTATGCTCAACGCGAAAACCAATGACAAACAATGTTCGAAATTTTAAAGCCGTTCTCCTCAATCTGTCGCTAAACGGCTACAAAAACGGTAAGCGGCCAGCAATTGTTGCGTGACCGGTCGGTGGACGCGAACAGCCGTCAGTAAAATTCACTAACGCGGGTTAAGCCCTATTAAGCTGATATCGGTTTCTATACAAAATTAGCCTCATCCTGCTCCCTTAATTGGCTTGCCTCCCTTCAAAGTATCAGACCTGTTTTACTTTTCCGACTGTCAGGTTATCGTGGAAGACCTGAAAGGTTACCTTGCATGAATACTTGGTCTTTTCATCCATATTCTTAGTTAGTGTCCCTGTTCCCCATGTCGCAGGCTCCATCCGCATGGTGTTCTATCAATCGGAGCTTTTACTGCCATGGTAACCTCAGGAACGGGATTTCCGGACATGTTTCCAGGATTGAAATCCACAATTCTCACACTGAATGGGCAATTCTGGTTTCCATTTCCGAAGGGATATTGGCAATTGGTCTTGGTGTGTTTGGACTTTCACATTATGAGATTTGACTGAACGATCAGCCGGTATTTTTAGTTTGAATAGTAGTGATCAGTGCTTCTTCTACCGCTTGTGAGAACTTCCATGGGAAGATCCTATAGGTTTCATTATCTGCTTTGTTCAGGTGGAGCTGAAGCGTCACGAAAGTCGCTCGAATACTTGTTGCAAAATCCTGGTAAAGGTACGTTCGAAGGCGTAGGCGGCAAAACCGTTTCTGTCCAATATGAATTTTGAATATTAAATATTGAATATTTCGATTTTCTATATTCCAAATTTTGTCCTCGCCTAGGTCGAGCAATCGCCATCGTCTTGGGAGGAGCGACAGAGGCACTGGACGCCCATCCTGGAACACACGATCTCAATTTGTCTTCTCGTCGAGGATTTTGTCGTTATGCCCTTAAATATGGGTAAGAGTACATATGTGGCTTTATTTCCTCCCCTACCGTCCCATACCCCTCCCCGCTGTCCCACTAGACCTCCTTTTCTGTAGTGGAGGGTCAGGTGCTGCCCCCACTAATAAGATCCATAGCGCAACCCCCCCCCCCCAAGGTATTCCCATTACAAGAAACTCCAATCTTTTCTGGTCAATTCTAATGCTAGACTCGACAACGAGGATTTTTCGGTGACACAAGCATAGACTGCCCTTTCAAGCATTGCATGACCCATGTACGCCTTCTGGCACCAACAATTTCGAGTGATATTCAAAGATGTGGCCCATCCTCAGGACAAGGACCGCCACCAATCTGACCAGCTCTACGCTCTTTTGAACCTTGTTCATCCAGTTCTTGAAGTCCTTCTTCTTTAGTGCAGATCTTGTGCCGATGTACCACTTCGGCGAGAACGACGTCTTTGACCGCTGGGAAGGATACACACGTGGTACTCGCCTGAGGGAAATTCAGGTAACTTTGTAACCTATTCGGGGCCTGACATTGAAGTCTTCAGCATTTCAGACGTGGATCAAGAACAAATTCGGATTTTGTCCACCATTGGTAAAAGGTCGTGGCATATTCAATTATAGCTTGGGCATGCTTCCACATCGTAGACCCATCACGACAGTCATTGGAGCACCAATCAAGTATGAGAATTCAGGTTTTAATGAATAGCCAGGAAGAAGATGTGCATACGCATGTCGTAATGTACTGAGTTGTCCAGAAATAAGCCCTTTTAGAAATAAATCGAAATTTTTCAAAATTGCTTCAGCTTTTGTGGCTGTAGCCTGTCCTTGAGAGCCCCACTAAGCCTACCTTGGAGTAAGTGGTGCAGGTTCAAATTCGAAGCTTAACTGCGCTGTAACCAGCGCACCTTTCCCTTCCAAAAAGGTGTGTTGGTTCCTTTGCTGTCTGGACACCAAATAGAGCGGCGCAAGTACTTCCCCAGTCCATACCTACTTTATCGTACCCTATATCTTTGAAGAAGGATTCCGCGTTAAGGAAGAAGTCGAAGTAGGAGAAACCAA